GGGCTGAAGGAGCAGAATACGGTCACATGCAAAACAGATTAATTTGCTTTGTAAACTGACACTGAGTGTATTACACATTCTGAGCTTTTTATTTAATGCAGTCCACAAGTGATAATCACACTTCTTGTACAATACAAACAAAAAGCAACGCAAATATGACCTCAGTAGTTTGATCTAATAGTTATTATATCTGATAGTAGGGTTTAGGTTTATTTGTGTCACTATTGTACTGTTGTACTATAATTTTTTTGTAGTTTCACTGGAGATAGGGCCTTTTCCTGCGCTACCCCATGGCTATAGAATGCCCTACCTCCACATTTGAGGGCTCCACAGACTGTGAAATATTTAAAAAAAAGCCTGAAAACGTTTCTTTTTAGCCAATGTAGTGATTGTTTTAATTGTTTTATTCCTTTTTTTAATGCTGTTTTTAATGTAATATTTTTCCACTATCTGTATGCACTTTGAGATTTTCTTTGTAAAATGTAAAGTGCATTATAAATTAAATTTATTATTATTATTATTATTATTATTATTATCCTTTTACACAGTTTTCAACAGTATCACATTTGCTCCAGAGCAGTTTGATTCAATTCAATTCAATTCAATTTAGCTGCATTCATATAGTTCTTTTAAAGAGAAGCATATGTTTGCATGATTCATGCAGATGGTGTGATCTTTATATTAGCTGAATCCAGTCTGTGCCATAGCTGCTATCAGTCATTGAGTCTTTACAGGAGATGGTCTGGAATGGGTTTTACAATCAGAGGCGTAACTATTCTGGGCCCCTGACAAAGTGTCACCTTGTCTGCCCCATCAATTTATATTTTCACATATTCAGAGGGCCTTGTAAAGTGCAACACCCCTGAATCTCCCTGGATATCCATATTCCCATTGCACCCCTGTTTACAATCACAGATTCTAGCTGAGTGAGCTCAGCATTCACTGTGCACCTGCATTACACAAAATTTAAATACACCACTATACTCTAATAGACACAGTATATGAAAGTATTAAGAAACATACAAAATACAAAAGTATTCAAGTACAATGTAAATTATGGAAGCAATCAATCTCCACACAGTGTAATCTTACATGAAAATAAAACCATTAAAGTATTAGGCCTCCTATTGTCATTCAGCTGTGGGTAAAGCCTGCATGTTTAGGGGAAGCTGATTTATTTGAAGCTCAGATGGATGCACTTGTTAGTGTGGAAGTATCATAAACACAGATGGTNTCATAAACACAGATGGTCATACTGTACTTCCCTCTATGAGGGGCTCTGGCGCCCCCACATGGTGAGGGTCTGCAAAAATAAGGAATATTTTCAGGAAATTACTCTATTTTCTCTATTGCTTTGATTCTGCAGTCAACTCAAACTCCACATGTTCAAATCAGTTCACAGACTGTGACATTTTGTTTTTAAGCCCCAGTCGCTTGTTTCTTAGCTCGTTTTACTAGGTTCCTGTTTGTGTTCTATCTTCTTCCCCTGGGTCCTGCACAGTGCGACTGAGGAGCCCATGCCAGTTCCCATCAGCACTGCACTTTTTCTGTTCGTATCATAACTGGTCTGCATAGTTCCTCTCCCCCTTTCTGTGTACAACCTTTTTTCTCCCACCTAACCAGAAAACCGATTAATGCCCTCTACTGGAGAAAAATCAAACTGAACAAAACAAAGCTATTGAAGATGGGAAATAGTCTGGAATTAAACTCACTTTAGTTGCAGTATATTACTCTGAGTGGTTTACAATAGGAAAAAATAATGGTCATGTTGCTCAAACAAAAGCCATGCCACTACGCTACAGGAAGAAATCCACGGCCAACATGATTTACACAAGTTTGCTTCTTCGTTTTGTTCAGTAACAGCTTTCTGTCACATCCTGCATGCAGACGCAGCTCAATCAAACCTGTTAATTACAAACACCTGTGAGGTTTTGTTGTTCTCATGTGACCTGCTGAGTGTTTCTTTCATGCCTTTGGTGTTGCCCATACCTTCCTAGCCATTTCTGATGCAGTCCTTCCAAGCCCATGTTCATTTCGCACCTTCCCAGTGTATTTACCTCCTGTTCCCCCACTCCAGCTTCTGACTTCTCTGGACATGTGATCCCGACTCTGATTTCAACCTGCCGATTCAGGTTCCGTTTGCTTTCCCTCCAAAATGAATCCCTTGTCTCCCTCATTTGGGGTCTTTGAGTTTCTATTTCTGACAGGATCCCTCGCCAATGGAAGATGGCCCCAGTGGAGACGCACTACACCTCCAGGAGGCTCTAACCCAGGCTGCTCACCTGAACTCCCTGGTGGCTCAGCTCCTGAGAGGGTATGCAGCAGAGATCCCTCCTCCCCGGTCTCCTCCTCGTCCGATATCAGGTGTCCCTATAACCATCCACGATAAGTATGATGGCAATCCCAACCATTATACAGCCTTCCTAATGCAATGTGAATTATACATCGACCAGCACCTGGAGATGTTCCACTGCGATACGGACCACATCGATTTTGTCATCTCGATTCTCAGATATCAGTGCGAAGGGTGAAAGGCTGGCCACAGAAATAACAGCAGAAGTGACGGATCATGGTCACCACCGCCAACAGCTCCAGGCGGGTGACGCAATAATGCACTCAGCCTTGTTCAGGGCCTTTAATTAAATAGGCCACCATTGTCTCTCTCCCTGGTCCAATCTGTGAGAGAACTGCACCCAGACCTTCCCCAGACATCCTTGTAGAACAAGAAAGGTACATTGGGGTCTGGTGGGGCAAGAACTGGCCTGATGGTGAGAGACTCCTGAAGACCCATAAGACCTGCATCACATCATTTCTAAGAGACTTTTTGTACCACTGTCCCACTACTTTCTGTCACTGTGAGCCTCGTGCACAGTAGTACACAGCTGTGTCTTCAGTCTGCAGGCTCTTCCCTTGTAAATAAATTGTGTTGCTGG